AAGAATGAGCCAAAAGGTTCACAATCAATTTATAGGCAACAGGTGAGGTGGGTGTGGCCAGGTGACAGGTGGCAAAGTATCATTGAAAGAGCGAAATGGAGTTGAAAGGGAATAGAAGGGCAGGAGTCTTTTCAACTCACATACTTTGGTCTGGAAGACTAGGAACACAAGCACACTGATGCAAATGGTAAACCCATTTGCACTTAATTGGTGTAACATGTATGATCTGTTTTGGTTTAGTTTCATTGTGCTTTGGTTCTGTTCTTCCTGTTCTGGTTTGCCTGTGTTTCCCTAGTTAGTTTATTAATTAGGTTATCAATTAGTTCTACACACCTGTTCCATTTTATCTTGATTACTCTCCCCATGTACTTAAGCCCTGTGTTTCAGTTCTTTTGTCCAGTATCATCTTAGTTTTACGTGGTCGTGTTTATGATTTCCTCCTGCGATCTCCTGAGTATTCCTTGTAATTATGTACTCCTTTCATTGTTTGCTTCGTGACAATGCTGGACTTAAGTCCATTTTTGCGGCATTTTACTTTCCTTTTTTGCTCTCCCCTCACAAATGGACCTACCCGACGTCCAATTTCTCTGCCTGAATCAGAATGACCATTCACTAGAGGATCATACAAGGGACTTTAGATCTGGCATTCCTAACTCAAATCTGGAACCGCACGCTATCTAGTGAATCCAGAGAGGATATTGCAGCGTCTGTGGAGTGTTGAGATTTATTTATTCTAAACTGTTTTAATTATTCTTATTTCTTTTGATTATTTTAATTTCTTCTATGTAAATCACTTTGAATTACCATTGTGTATGAAATGTGCTGTATAAATAAACTTGCCTTGCCTTTCCTTGCCTTATGGCTCCACCGGGCTCCCTTGTCCCTCTGGCTCCGAGTTGGTCAGACATCACTCACCCTTTGCTATACACTTACTTCGTCCCTCCATCTCTGGATCCATCAGGCTACACCTTCCCTCCGGCTTCGCCTTGGTCCTCAGTCACACTGGCTCCGCCTCAGTCCCCTGGCACCCTAGCTCCACCTCGGATGCTCATCGCTGTGGCTAAGCCTTGGTCTTGGATCTCCTGAGTATTCCTTATGGATTGTGACTGTTTTTGTTATCTACAACTTTTGTCGTGCGCTCTCTACAACAAGTCATATTAGAGGCCTGGAACAAACTTTGACATAGCTACACATTACTACAAGTACTTTCTATATTAATAAAAGTAAGTTATGCATAATTGTGCAAATGCATAATTATGCAACAAAAAAAGTACAGTACAATGTAACTACGTCACTTTAAAAAAAGTGTAACCCAAACTTTTTCTAAAAAGTCTATTGGTGAATTCTACTGTATCACTGTAAAAGAGAAGAATTGGTTTATCATGCATTTTGGTTTCAATATTTTGCACATTTCCTTTCGACTTCTCAGGAAGCAGCATAGCTGTCATCATGTTTCATTAAACAGTTTTTTTTCTGAGTTGATCGTTCCAGAATGTGGTCTTAACCATAATGTTTGCATGTAGATAAAATCGCATGTACCTCACAATGAGGAAGTGGTTGTGTGTGATCACAAAGTCCAATCAAAAATATCAATGAATGAACTTACATCATACTTTGCATCAGATATTTAATATATATGGTTTTGATAGATTTTGATAATTATTGTATTACATAGACAGAAATTAAAGTAGGTATTGTTCTTGACCATGTTTTAAACCAAGTTTTTTGACACATTAAATATTGCTTTAAGTTAAACAACTAGCATTTCAATTTGATTGTGTTAGATTAGGCATTATTGCTATAAAATAATTTAATTAATGTTACATTACTGTATGTATCTCATATATTTATTAATACCATGTCCACACAGACGCGTTTCAGCCTAATGGGCCTTTCACACAGGACGCGGAAAGCGCTGCTGAGTGAAAGCCCCTTAAGCCATCATCAGTGTGTGATGGCTGGTGATGGCTAGTGATGGCTGGTGATGGCTTAAGGGGCTTTCACACAGGACGCGGGATGCACGCGGGTTTTGCGCCCAGCGGGTGTGATTTGCGCTGCGCAATGCCAGAGCAAAGTAGGCGGAGTTTTCAAAAACTTTAAGCGGGAGTTCTACACGTCAGTATAATTTGATTTTTGTTCCTCCTTTCGGTCAGCAGTAAACTATTTATCTGTCCTGTGCACATTGCTAGCCGTTTATCCATTTTGATTTCAGTGTTTGTTTGGATGTCCCGTTTCTATTGGCCGCGCTGGTAATCGCCACAGAGCGCAGCGGCAAAAGTTGAACTATTTTGAACTTTGAAAATCGGAGGGGTAGAGGAGCGCTTCCTGGACTTCAACGTTTGATTAATATAGAGGTGCTCTTTGGATGGGAAACTAAATACCAAAGATCAAAGAAAGGAGAACTCCAAGGCACTCTCAATTGTAAAAGTTCTTTTAAACTCCCAGAAGAAGGCATGTAGCCGAAACGCGTTGGAGTTTTTTAGATGGTTAATTTGACCAAGCCATAAGAATAAAGGCTTTTTAACTTTTTCAATTGAGAGTGCCTTGGAGTTCTCCTTTCTTTGATCTTTGGTATTTTGAACTTTGACCGCGGCATGCGCGCGAGCTGCGCACCGCTGCGCTTGCACTTTGGTTGACGCAGCAACAAAATGTCTTCGCGCGGCGCAAGCCATTGAAATGAATGGGTTTCATAGCGCAGCGCATTGCTTTCCGCGTCCTGTGTGAAAGGCCCATTAGGCTGAAACGTATGGAATGCCAAAGCTGACTTAATTAAAAATAAATAAATACATAAAGAAATATACGAAGAAATGTAAAAAAGCAAAAATACATAAATAAATATACAAAGAAATGAAATAAAGTACAAATAAATGAGTATTTATAATTTTATTTCCTTATTTATGTATAATTGTATTTTTTCACACATTTTTTTTTTTTTTACTGATCAAACTCATTGATCAATATGCTTGTGTAGGAGTCAGTGAAATGTGCGCTGGTTTCTCTCCGTGTTCTGCGCTGGTGTGCGAGTCTCATCGACAATAAACGCAAGCTCTTATCAACCCTATCCACCGCGCTTACATTGTTATTAATTGTGGATACTTTCATGCGCTTCCATGTCCAAGTGTCTGCTATCAGACCCGTTGAAGTGCAGTTTCTGTTCATGTGTGTAAACCCTATATAGCCTACCCTACATACAGTTAGGGTGATATATATGACTTAAAATGTGATATTGTCCGCACACCTCTTGCGTTTCGTTTGGTCACACACCACAAGGTGTCACTGTGGCCTCAAAGCTGCAGCACTGCCACTCTGAGCTCGATTGCTGATGTCTGAGGTAAAACACGCCCCCCTCATTAGCATACGGACAAAGAAATGTAGAAATAAATAAATGTAGAAATAAATAAATGTGGAAATAAATAAATGTATAAATAAATAAATGTAGACATAAAAACATATATATATAAATGAATGTGGAAGTAAATAAAAGTGGAAATGAATAAATGTATAAATAAATAAATAAATAAATGTGTGAAAAAATACAATTTTACATAAATAAGGAAATAAAAGTATAAATACTCATTTATTTGTGCTTTTTTACATTTCTTCGTATATTTATTTATGTATTTATTATTTATTTTTAGTCAGCTTTGCCATAGAAACGCTTCTGTGTGGACATGGTATTAATAAATAAATGAGATATAACCAGAGAGTGCGGTTTTTCATCTTTATTTGATAACTTCTTTATAACTCGCACCTTTAAACGGTTTGGGAGTTGAGCGCGCCTGTTTTCAGCACATTACTGTATGTCACAACAGTTTTGGGACAGTTTTTAGAAGTTACTGGTTACTTAAGGTTTTTGTTGCTTAGGTGTTTAGGTGCTACTTGAAGTAACAGTGTCATGTCAGCATGTCTTAATGTACTGTGTTTGCATCAGAGCCAAAGAACACAGGAAATCCAACTCACTCTGCAGAGCATATCTCTGTGGCTTTCCGCTGTAGCTTTTAAGGTAAAGACAAAGGTTAGGGTAAAGTTACTTCCCCCGAAGCATCGCATTTATTATCACCGTTTTACAATAAGCTTTTTTCAATAACTTTGTGAAGTTTACACATAAGAATGTCAACTAACAGGGAAATAAGTAAATTTTAAGCTTTATAATCTAAAACATTGAATTATTTAAAATATCAGAAATTTATTAGAATTTATTAGAATATTTGATAATAACTATTATTGAGTGGGTTGGATTTTATGTTGAAATCAATGACACACTGTGTATGTACTAGTAATGACATGGTTTCAAAATATGTCCACATAAAGGTAATAAAATGTCCCTGAGAAAATCAATTCCATGGTGCAAATATATGAAAAGGTTAAGTTCTGCTATGGAGGCATGGTCAGAATTGTATCTCAGTATACTGTATGGAAAAATAGTTAGTTTTGAGATGGTGTTGTTAAATGTTTAATGTGAATTATTTTTAAGCTGTTCAATATTGTAGGCATGTATGTGACTACAGTATGTGCCATATGTGTTAGGGAGGGCTCTTGTGGTAAGAGGTAGCATTACAATATACCTTTGAAACAGGTGTTTATTTATTTGTTTATTGATTGACATCTTGATATATTTATCACTGCGTTTGAAATAAGCAGTTCAGCACAGACATTATGAATATACAACATTTACAGACATCCGTCCAGTATAGACTGCATTCAAAATAAAGTTCCTTCATACATCAATGCTCTCATATCCTCTTTTAGCCAATGTGAGGGGACAATATTTTTTTTTATTGTATTTGGTTTTGCCTTCAAGGTGTGTGTGTGGTTGAGGATGGTTTTTGTTTTCTTTTTGTGGTTATTGACTGCTGTACAGAACCAGTGATTAAATGTTTAGTAGGTCATGAGGTGAGAGCTTATAGAGATATTGAGGAACAGATGTTTGTAGGTGGCAAATATGAAAATATTACATTTAATTTAATGCATCAGTTAATTTTTAAGCCAGTGTTAAACATTTGAATGTAGAAAGCTGCATTACTTTCCCCATCACTTTTTTCTTTCTTTTTTTACAATGATGATTGTTTCCACTAATTGAGGTAGAATAATTGATATGATATTACCATCATTAAATCAACAAATGTTAGATTGCATTATATAGTGCAATGCATGAATGAAGATTAACATCTTTATATTTACAAAAACAAAGCAAGATTAAATGATGAGCACAATATGTACAAAAACAAAGAAACAGAACCGAAATATTTTGAAACAATGTCGGGTTTCTTACTGCATTAGAATTTTTTTTTTTAAACTTGTGTATGTTTGGTGGGAGATGTAAAAAAAATAGCTGTATTGGAAGTTTCATTCTCTGAAACTTTTGATTGTGTAGATGTTGACTGGTAGGTCTTCAAACATTTAAGATGTCTTGCAAACACACTTATAAGACATTTCCTGAACTTTTCTCCAACAAAAGCATAAATCACCGGATTTACAGAGCAGTGTGTGAGTGCGATCATCTCTGTCCACTCCATGGCTGTGATGATATTACTGTGAGCCTCACAGCTAGTTAGAATGTCAAACTCCTGCAAGGTTTTCAGAAACACCACCACATTGTAGGGCACCCAGAAAACCACAAACACGATGACAATGCCTAAGATGAGCTTGATTGCACGATCCTTTTTCGAGTTTTTTGTCTTCTTCACAACCATTAGGACCATGAAGTAGCAGTAGGCTATAATGGGCAAAGATATGAACAGTCCTACTGTATTTTCACTAAAGTTACGGAAAAGCTTCCACTTCTGGGACGACCCAGCAGGATAAACTCGCTGACAGCTAGTGATGTTGTCCTCTTCCACCATTGCTGCAAAGATGGCCTCCGGAAGGGCGGCACAGATCGAAACCATCCATGTAATGAGACTCGCCACAATTCCATAACGCAGCATCTTCGCTCCCAGCACCGCAACGGCGTGTACGATGACCAGATAGCGATCCACGCTCATCAGGGTCACGAATAAGATCCCACTGTAAAATCCCACTTGGTATGTACCTGCCATAGCCTTACACATTGCATTGGCTTTAAAGTAGTGGCCCTGAGCATAGAGAGCCCAGGAGGGCAGTGAGAGGACCATCAGTAGGTCTGACAGGGCCAGATTTAGCAGGCAGAGATTTGTCATATTTTTCACATGCATTTTTTTCAAGAGGACCCATAAGACCGTGATGTTGCCAAGAAGGCCAATCACAAAAACTATGTAGAAAATGGCTGCCTTGAGATTTGAATTTATGTGTGAATTTTCATTAGTACATGTGTTTCCGGTTTCATCGTAATAGTATGGTGTTGTTTCCATCCTGTAACAAACAGTAAATGTTATTTAGTGAAATATGAATGTCAGTAAATAAATAAAAAACAATAACAAAAATGCTTATACATGCTGACTAACAAATTACATCAATATTTGCTGAATTTTTTTTTTAGAAAAAGTGGCTTTTCTATGTATTGTTTTAAATTGTAATATTTTAATTGAATTATTAATTTATAATACTTTGTTTTGATTATATTTATTTATAATGATAATATATGATTTATAATAATTAATTGTTTTAATGCTGTTTTTACTCAATATCACTATATGAGCACCTTTTTTTAATTAGTTGAAAGTAGTTTGAAAACAAAGTTTCTGTTGTTCTTGAGCACAATGAATACTAGTAACATACCGAGACAACTCATTTGACAGTATCATGCAGTGGTTTATGATACTGTTTTTTGAAACCACAGAGTACAATGACACTGGGAGTGGAAATGTGCGAAAATGTCATGGTATGAAAGTAGCTAGGTGTCAGCAAGTTCTAATGCATTCATTAGCAAATCTCCATGATGGGGACTTTTGTAAATCTGGAAACTGAGTCAGAAAACATGTGTCATTTAACTTCTATATACTTTTTACATAAAGTATGCATAATCATTTGTAGAGAGTAACTATATTCTGTTGCTCTTAGCCGCTGTGATTACACTTTATTTTGATGGTCCACTTTAGACATTCTACTAATTATAAGTAACTTTTCATCTACATGTCAACTAATTCTCAATAGAGTACTAGCAGACTGTTAGGTTAGGATTAGATGTTAGGGTTCGGGTTAGAATAAATTGACATGTAGCTGCAAAGTTACTTAGAGTCAATAGAACGTCTGTAAAATAAAGTGTTAGCAGATATTAAGCAGTCAGTCTACTCTAATGACTGGTTGTTGACCTGTAGTTGCAAAGTTACTTATAGTTAGTAGAAGGTCTAAGGTGGACCATCAAAATAAAGTGTTACCATTGGCTGTACATCAGACAAAGTTTCATCATGGTGTAATTGCATTATAATGGCTGGCAGCAATACACTGACACACTACATGAGGTAGGCATTTGAGAAATTCTTCTAATATTTTGAATACAAAATTTGACAGTGAAACTGATTTGAAGGTGCCACTAAACCAAACCTCAAAACATGCCGACCTTTTTTTTCTCAAATATTAGTACGTAGAAACAGGAGGTCTCAGTATGCTCTTTAACCACATGCTTTGAAACATCCCACCACAATCCCACTATAACACCATCAGTGTCTGTGATCTCTCTACAGTGTCTCTACTATTTTTGTGAATTACAGTATAAGACAAATAATTTACAAAACCTCCCAATACTGATTAGGAATCACTTGAATGTGATAATAATTGCATAAACAACACTGAATGTAATATATCATATAACTGTTTTCAAGAGACAGGGGTTACATTTTAGAGCCAATCTCTGTCATTTTTTTAATGATGGATCTAAACACAACATGATGATAATCCAGTAAATTTAAAATAAAAAAATCTGTTTACCTGTCTGTATAGGATTCATTCATTTTGTCAAATTGCTGTCACTCTTGTTGTTGAGATGTTGAGACTTGTAATAATTTTCAGCCTCTTTCTGTACATTTGCCTTCAGCAAATTTCCTGTAAACTGAAGCATGTGCATGTGAGTGTGCTTTTCTTCATAACTGTATCTTGTGAGGCGAAGGTAACATGTGAACACATTTCCTGTCACCACACTGAGGTAGCAGGTTTGGATGCAAAAAAGAAATTCCCGGGGAGGAGATAAGACAATAAACCTGAGTAATTTAAGTCTGTGACGGCTACTCAATAAACGCTAATAGCTGCCCCCACCCACAGCCAATGTCTTGAAAGGACAGTTTATATAGATAAACCATGCCATCCCACACCAATGAACAATTTGACGAAAAGAGCTATATGCTTTTTCAGCTTCAACAGTGAGTAAGTTTCCCTGAATTGAACAAATAAAGAGCAATTGAAACTAATGCTTGTAAGAAAATAAATTATGACTAAGTTGCCGAAACTGTGTCTCTTTTTCCTGCTCGCCATGGTATTTATAATGCAAACTGACATTTTATAGAAAAGCCTAACAGGTTTTTCAGGCTCAAAACAGATGCTGCGTCCGAAATCGCATATACTGTATAGTACTACATTTGGTTTGAAACTTACTTTGCAACAGTATAAAAGGTATGTTCCATATATGAATCTGTGTTGTAAATCGGACAAACTACATCTGCCATGTTGTCATCATCATGTTACCTGTGCCGTTGTTGTTTTGTCACATCTCTGCCATTCACAAATCCTCTCCAAAGCCTCATGGGATAAAGTGTCTATTGAATGCACACTTCAGAATATCGCCGGAAGTAGTAGGTCACCCTGGTACTTTTTTTTTAATGAATACTATAAATATATAGTAGGTACGTTGGCATATTCGGATGCAGCATCAGTGTATTATTCAAAAATCTCACCTGTCTTGGAAGGGCTACAGCACTTGCATTTTGTTGTCCTATTGTTCGTTTTATTGCTTCTATTGCTCTCCTCATTTGTAAGTCGCTTTGAAAAACAGCTTCTCCTAAATGATTTAAATGTAAAGCCCCTTCCTAGGTGACCCGAAACACACCAGCAACTGGTCTGACATCTTCTGATCACATGTGGACAAGGGAATCACATGACAAACTCAGGAAACAAGTGTTGCGTTCCAGTCCACTTTTAGACACGCACTTGCGAACTTCCCTAAGCACTTCCCCTCGGGGGAATCCCTGCCGCCATTTTGAAGTGCGTTCCACTTCGTGAAGTGGACGAGGAAAGTTTATGTGGACAGACCCTCGTTCCCTCGATTTTGTCCGAGGGAATGAGTCTACTATTATGTAATAATAATAATAATAATTCGTTACATTTACATAGCGCTTTTCTGGGTACTCAAAGCGCTTTACATGGAAGGGGGAATCTCCTCAACCACCACCAATGTGCAGCATCAACCTGGATGATGTGACGGCAGCCATATTGCGCCAGAACGCCCACCACACACCAGCTTACTGGTGGAGAGGAGACAGTGATGAAGCCAATCAGTATATGGACATGATTTGGAGGCCATGATGAAAAGAGGCCAAGGGGCAAATTTGGCCAGGATGCCGGGGTTACATCCCTACTCTTTTTCAAAGGACATTCTGGGATTTTTAATGACCACAGAGAGTCAGGACCTCGGTTTAACATCTCATCCGAAGGACGGTGCTCTTTGACAGTATAGTGTCCCCGTCACTTTACGGGGTGTTAGGACCCACACAGACCACAGGGTGAGCGCCCCCTGCTGGCCTCACCAACACCTCTTCCAGCAGCAACCTGGTGTTCTCAGGAGGTCTCCCATCCAGGTACTAACCAGGCTCAGCCCTGCTTAGCTTCAGTGGGCAACCAGTCTTGGGCTACAGGGTGATATGGCTGCTGAAAACACAGCATGGCTGTGTATGGCTGCATGTACACTTCAGGCAGCTCCATATACCACAATGCAACACGATTGTGACGTCACCGCAGATCTCGTCTAATCACCACCACCACAAACAACTCTATAATATATATATATTATTTTTTTTATTTATTTAAAACAACCCAAACACACCTATATACATGTGGATGCTGCATTAAACAAATTCTTAAAGGGAAAACAAAAATTAAATAATAAATCAACTCTATAGCTGATTCCAAGTGATCAAGGGCTTAGGACGTTCCAATTCAGCCCATTGCAGTTTCCGGCAGTAGTGGGCACTCGTGCAGCGTAAGCAATGACGTACATACGAGTGAACGAGATGGAGGGAAGTTAGCGAGTGAAGGGCATGACGATTTTGGACTGGAACCATTGCTGTTAATTCGCCTACTTATACTACAGTACACCCTAAAAATATGTACACTTTTTGTGAAGAAAAAGTAGATACTTTTGAGTGTGTAGCAAAAGAGTACACAAGCTTGGGACATACTGTCAAGTCATATGCAATTGCATCTTTAACAGTTGCTCTCTGTCGCATCCTGTCACAGAAAACTGGCCTGTCAATCATCTTGTCACAGTTAAAATCCTCCACATTTAATTTAATTTAATAAAATTTCCTTCTGTATCAGAGAGAAATGCAGTAAAACGATGATCTGTAGTCGCAGGTCTTTCATGCGAACACTCTCCTCATATTAATGCATAATGATGCATTTAAAAGTTATTGGCCAAACGGATCTTTATAAAAGTCCACATTGATATTGCAAATGAAATATAACACGGATAACATTAAATAAACATTTTTCTAAACTTAACATATTAGATAAACTTTATAAACTGGGACACACTTATTCTAAACTCACATAATATTTAGGATGGATATGGATATTGGGATGCAGGGCATGAATACAAAATAAAAGAATATCAGACCCCACAGGTCTCAAACCACACAGACATTTAAAACAGAATTGCAGGTGCCCAGATAGTGAGTGCCCAATCAAGTTTCTGAAAAAGATACCTACCTGCAGAGTTCAGTTCCAACTACGGATATGCGATCCATTAGATCTCCACGATCTGTCTTTGAAAACAGATAGATTCGTGCTATAGTGCACATTTTTGCACTTGTAATTCTAGGCTGACGCCCCCGTCCCAACATACAGGTAACCTGACATACATTCACATCCCGTTTAGCAACAGTGCGGTATGGGTATGCTTAAATGGCATACCTAAAGTTCATTAGTTCATTAAACGTGAACTGACTTTAAAGCCTTTTCAGTTAATCTTTTTAAGCAGCCCTCCTACCGGATGCGGACCGTGCCGACGGTGAGAAGGTCATAGAGGCCCTAGGAAGAATTTTTGGGGATACAGCTAGCCATGCTCAGCGACGTGCAGAGTTCTATAAATGTCACCAGGGTCCAGATGAGGGTGTCAGTCTATTTGGCTTGAGGCTACGAGAATGCTATACTAGGTGGCGCGCCACCGAACGGAATGCCGCCACGGACGAAGATGCCCTATTACGCGACAGACTGTAACAACTTCAGAGGAATATCTCTGCTCAGTCTTGCTGGCAAGATATTTGCTCGCACTATTCTACCACGTCTACAAATCCTAGCTGACCGTATCCTCCCTGAAACCCAGTGTGGGTTTCGTGCTGGCCGCTCCATAGCAGACATGGTTTTCTGTGTCCGTCAACTACAGGAAAAGTGTATAGAACAGCATAAACCTCTGTTCTTGGTGTTTGTAGACTTGACCAAGGCCTTTGACTACGTTAGTCGATCTGGACTTTTCCTCATTTTACAAAGACTTGGCTGCCCTCCAAAGTTACTGAAGGTGATCACTGAGTTTCATGAGGGCATGAAGGCAACTGTACAGTCTGAAGGCACTCGCTCTGACGAGTTCCAGATAAGGTGTGGGGTAAAGCAGGGATGTGTCCTTGCTCCTACCCTCTTCGGAATATTCTTCTCTGCCCTACTACGCCGTGCCTTCCCTGATGACTCGGGTATCCTTCTACATACCCGCAGCTCAGAAAAGCTGTTCAATCTGGCCAGACTGCGGGCGAAGACTAAAGTGCGCCATATTCTGGTACGTGAGCTGCTTTATGCTGATGATGCTGCCTTTGTTGCCCACTCAGAGGCAGATCTACAACTACTCTGCTCATCTTTTGCTGCTGCATGTCTAGAGTTTGGTTTGCAGATTAGTCTCAAAAAGACAGTTATTCTTGCCCAACCTGCAACCCTAAACCCTACAGTATACATTAACAACACATGTCTATCTGTGGTAGACAAATTCACCTACCTGGGTTCCACCGTATCAAACAACAACAACCTTGACGCAGAGCTTGATATGCGCATTGGGAAGGCATCATCAATGTTTGGAAAATTGAGCAAGCGTGTCTGGCACAACAAGAACCTCTCAATGCTCCTCAAAGTCCGTGTGTACCATGCATGTGTATTGAGCACCTTACTATATGCAAGTGAGATATGGACAACATACAGGAGGCACGAACATCGCCTCAACGCCTTCCATTTTCGCTGCCTTCGTTCCATACTGGGTGTATGCTGGCAGGATCATGTGCCAAACTCTGTCATACTTGAGAGAACTGGTTCCAGTGACCTGTACACCATCCTTCGTGAACGCCACCTCCGTTGGACTGGGCATATATATCGAATGAATGACACTCGCCTTCCAAAAATCTTTCTTTATGGCGAGCTGGCAAATGCCCCCCGCAAACATGGTCGCCCCCATCTACGTTTTAAAGACGTCATTAAGAGGGATCTTCAGGCTTTCTCCATCAACCTGGACAACTGGGAGGCAATTGCAAATGACAGAACCAAATGGCGCACAGCAATTAACAACGGCCGCAGGGACTCTCAGGAGGCCTACAAGTCATTTCTGAAAGAGAGACGCTCAAAACGGGAAGCAGTTTGTCGTACTCGACATGAACGGCCATAGTAGTAGTAGTGGTGCTGGGCCTTCGGACAGGACCAGTACGACAGGAGCTACAGCGACTTTTGCGAAGAGATGAGAGGCTGACGTTCCAGGCTGTCCTGAAAGAAGCTCGTGTATTGGAAAGGGAGTTAGACAGCCCCCCTGCTGAAGTAGAGGCTCATGCTATTCGTACCCAGATAGTTTCTTCCGATGTAAGGGGTGGACGTAAGTCCGACCTGGATGACCTCCGAGAGTGCTTGAAGTCCGAGCTGCGGGACGAGCTGGCAT